GTTGCCGGTAGAGCGGCTTCAGATCATGTTCAGTGAATCAGGCTACATGTCCAATGGGCAGGTTTACAGTTATCATCCAAAACTGTGTTCCACAGGAGATATTGCTTGTGTGAGATCAAACGATATCTCCTAGGAGATATCGTTTTGACAGTAGATTTTGTACAATGCCCTGACAATGTTATGACGCCATGAACTTGATGACGTCACAATGCTATGATATCGCTGCACTGCAAGTCTAATGGTAGAACCGTGTTCAGAGATATACATTTTTCATTGAAAACAAATGAAGAGTGATTTTTTTATGATAAATAGAATCTCACCCTCGTGTCTACTGATATCAATTATATGAACACTCATTGATATAAGTAAAAATATCCTATTTGTATAATATTTGTAACTTTATGAACTCGTGTTAATAAAATTGATATCAGTAGACACTTGGGTGAGATTCTCTATTTATCTTCAGCACACATTCATGTCATTAGACCCGTGAAGGTCCGGGTTAGAATATTGATCTTCAGTAACCCATGCTTGTCGTAAGAGGCGACTAACGGGATCGGGTGGTCATGCTCACTGACTTGGTTGACACATGCCATCGGTTCCCAGTTGCGCAGATCGATGTTCATGCTGTTGATCACTGGATTGTCTGGTCCAGACTCGATTATTTACAGACCGCCGCCATATAGCTGGAATATTGCTGAGTGCGGCGTAAAACAAAACTCACTCACTCACTCATGTCATTAAGTGCTCGCCTGAGATACAAAATGTGCAGCAGATGTTTGGTAACAAGGTGTTGCTGTTTTGTCAACGTTGGCAAGCATGGATGTTCATGTCTATTTGACCGCCCCCGTGGTGTAGTGGTTAGAGCGTCCGGTCGGAGAGCGGAAGGTCGCGGGTTCGATCCCCGACCGCGTCGTACCAAAAGACGTTAAAATATGGTACTTGTTGGTCCCTGCCTGGCGCTCGGCATTAATGGGTACAACAAGGACTGGTCGGCTCGGAGTCAGTATAATGTGTCTGGGTGGGGTATTCATGCATCACTGCGGCATGGTATCTCAGTGGGCTAGCACTATAAAACCAGCCTAAGTCTGGGCTAGTACAAGCAGCCGCACATACACATACACGCGCATGCACGTCGTCATATGAGCGAAATATTCTCAAGTACGACGTTAAACCCAACCTCACCTCACCTCATGTATATTTGTCAGATACAAAGCAGGGGTTCATGTAAGTAGGGCTCTCGTGCATGATATGGAGGCCAATACTGTGGATATGACATGGATATTTATGACAGTGACGTATTTGAATCACGACATACATTATGTAGCGTAGACCAAGCACACACACTTTTTAATACTTCTTTAAAATTAATATTCATATGAATATTCAATTACCATTGGTCTTTTGTGCTAACATCACATAATTCCATGCGTCAGGTAACATGCTTCGAAATTGTTATTCCAGTTTGGATTGAAAGTTTATTGCGAATACTTTTGAAAGTAATGGAACACAATGCATGCTCATTAAGCCACATCTATCATGAACGGATAACATTACACATACAGTCACATACACAGTTGAAAACACTGACATGAATAGGCTAATAACCCAAGTGAGTGAGTGAGTTGAGATTTATAGTCACACTGGCGATATTTCAGCCATAACGTGACTCAAAAAGTTATAAATTGATCATAAATGGAATTAAATTACAACAAAACCTGTCGACGAAGGACAGAAATATAACTGGATTAACACAGACAGAAACGTAAAACCAGAAATCTAATCTAAAACATTTTAACGAGAGAGAGAGAGAGTGAGAGAGAGAGAGAGAGAGAGAGAGAGAGAGAGAGAGAGAGAGAGAGAGAGAGAGAGAGAGAGAGAGAGAGAGAGAGAGAGAGAGAGAGAGAGAGACAGAGAGAGAAACACATATTCATCGGACTACACAGAACTAGAAAAAATGTACAGTAAGGACTTTGATGGCATTTGATATTTTTACGACCACATCATATAAATATACCACATCACATAAATATACACGGTTCTCAGCTGCTGTTATCGGCTGGTTTCACCTATGATTTATAGTATATCTACTGAACGCTTACACCTTGCTAATAATATTTTTCAATCAGATTTCCTGGCGTCGTCTTCGAGTGGGGTCTTCTTTTAAACACAATCGGTATGTAGGTCAGACGATCTTGATTATTGGTTCTCAATGCCGAACACCACACTTGTTGTCATACGAATTGATACAGAGCTGTTGACAAAAGTGTTCTTTTGTGCGCACTGTACACACCGTTTAGTTGTCCCTGCTACAAACAAATACCTCCGGTATAAAATGTAATAAGTCACCACACAATGCAATGTGTGTAGCAGAGCTACTGAGTACACCGCGCGTGTTTGTAGATATACAGACGGTGACAAAATACTCAATAAACATTTCCTTACATTATTGGTTTGTCAACAATATGCCAGACACTTACATTGCGTGAGGTATTTGCAATACCTTCATATTGGGTTTGTTTAATATATAACAGTTTAAACAGTAATATTTGACTTATTTTATGATATCTCCATGGGAATGTCTTTGATATTGAGGAGATTGACAGCTGTCAAAATCGTGATCAGTGCATTACAGAACGAAATCACACTGCATTTGAACTATGACGAGGACAACAAACTAACCTTTGGGGAGCGTCCAATATTGAAACACGATACATTAAGAAAGCCAATTTAGTTCAGAATATTTTCCCAATATAGTTACGGCACTGACTGATATGCAGAACAATAGCCATTGATCTGGTGAAATACAGTAATAGCCGACACCTCGTGACCTGGGCGTTCGTTAAGGACATACTTCATGAATAACCTGCGGTGCAAATTAAAAAAAAGTTTCCAATAATCTACCTTAGCTATTTATAACAGACTTGTTTTATAAGAACCGTTGAGATTGAAATGCTCGTACACGTTTGAACTCGTGTATGCTATACAAAAGACCATAGCTCACTGAAATTATAGTACAGCATTTAAGGTGACAATCAGACTTTAAACCGTGCAGATGGCCCATGGCGCTTTAGGTATATAAAGGCTAACTGCTGAAAAGAAGTTGAATATAGAACGTCAATGCAAAAGAATACCCTATCCTCAGACACAAATTCCGTTTGGTGTAAAGGGAAAAATAGTTATGAATGGATCACAGACAATCTGGTATGCCAGTGGTATATTGTGGCTCTGACATGCTCTGACAGATTAACTATGGTTGTATTGTATGCTGATTGAACAGAGATGGTAATTCGGTGCCATCGTGGGATTCGAACTCACGAAAGCGGGTTTAAGAAGGATTGAGAACGCAAATGTGTTGACATGATTGTGGCACTCTATGAGTATAATATACAACGTCAGTCCACAGAACAACCATTGTACAAAGTCACAATACAACATGGAATACTGTTTGGTAACCACTTGAAACAATCATCTGACAAAACATCTATAAGTTAGACATGATGGGCGTTGTATACTATTGACTTCCTTAATGGTGTGGGTGCATTAGCCTAATAACATAATCAAGTGTACATTCAAAATGTCGATTACAGAAATATGACAACCGCAGTTCCGTCACACTTCCTTTCCTTGAGAATAGCCTGCTGCATATTGAATCTGCCCCACAGAATAATCAACTCTGTGACAGCACCAACAGTTCAAATCAATGTTTCTCGTAAATCACGTTGTCGTTCGATTTTACAGAAAGTGCCGTACGGTACCTTAATTGGAATCAATTGTCAGTTGTAAACAGGATGCTGACACTATCTGTATTCCTGAGCCATATCCCATAGGAAGGTATCATGACTTAACTAAAGTTTGAGGATATTGGTAAGGTACATCTCTTCCTGAAATCTAGTTTGTATTGATGTCCAAGAAATTCCTCTCATCATCCGTAGCCGTTTGGTCCAACGCACATCACTTAACCAATCAGACAGCATTTACCGAACCGTTTACCATGATGGGGAGTGACTGATGCTGCAAATTGATATCTGTTATCATGCATATTCTTAGCCAATCAGATGCAGCGTTGGAGACAAACATCTGATTATGAAGAGCATTCTGTATAAATGCAGAATTGGGAGTAGTAGTCGACATTTAAACGAGAACGCACCAATACCAAGCAGCTGTTTCACTAAGTCACAGGCATCATGGTGAGTCACGTTACTTAGATTGTTTGCTATATGATAAATAAGTTTCTCAAATATTACAGGAAAACGTTCACCTTTACTGGAATATAACGTATATTTAGATAGCTTGACTTGGACACTAAAGCAAAAATGTGTATACTTCTAATTAGCTGATCACAAGATATTTCCATGGCATAATTTTCTTTTAATTATTTTTATAAATGAATGTTCATTTACATTTGAAAATGTACACCATTCTGCGTCGTGAAGGCGACATTATATCATGGATGATTACCGACATGCGTCGACTTCTCTCAACGCTTTGATTAAATTGTGTACATTTATGGAAAGCGGTGCTCGTGTTGTGACAACAGTTCAATACCTTTATTATGATACCCACTCGATTATCACTAATACCGATTGTCCATGCGTATGAATTGGCACTGATGCCGACGTATATAACGATGCGGGTGTTTCTATGTTTGATTTTGTTGAGGTTGACGTCCCACTCAGCTATATGCGTCTGTAAATAATTGTGTTTGGACAAGACAATGCAGTGATTAACATCATGAGCATCCATCCATGCAACTGGCATTCAATGGCATTCATTAACCAAGTCAGCAAGCCTGACCACCCGATACCGTTGGTCAACACTCACGACCAGCTCTGGTTACTTGGTTTATTCTACTGCGTAACTCCAGGGTGCTTTCATGTGTAAAATTAAGTTGTAGACAGTGTTGCGGAGTGATTAGTGTGTTCCTGGTGATGCCACACCCATCTTAATCACGTGCACGCCACTGGTTAGAACAGCTCTCACGGATCGTGTTAGCGAAAGTAGACGCGTGGGAATACTAACGTTTTGATTACGTTGTGGGTTAACAATTTGTGTAGTGTGAGGGTCGACACTCACACAGATAGTGACCACTGACTAGTATTGGAAGAAGGTGATCAAACATGCGGTCAGCAAGGCAGTCACATGTAGGTACATTTCAATTTTTTGCTTATGACGTTATTACTACAGATTCGTGTGTTTCATTGGAAGGAGATGCAAATGTTGTTTGGGAGGAAATTCAACGTTTTATAAGTAGATGGGAGCTGGTATGTGTGTCTTGTTTGGAAATCATATTTTCTTTGTAAGAATGTTTTTGTTAGAAGGATAAAACCAATACTGGATGACCATATGTACACGTAGGTATGGACAATGACGAAACAGTATCAAGATGTTTAGTTCGTTTTTTTGTTTTTGGGGAGGTTGTTGTTTGTTTGTTGTTGTTTTTTGTTTGTTTTGTTTTTGTTTTTTTGGGGGGTAGCCTAATGGTTAAAGCGTTGGCTCGTCACGCCGAAGACCCGGGTTCGAATCCCCACATGGGCACAATGTGTGAAGCCCATTTGATATTGCTGGAATATTGCTTTGCTAAAAGCGGCGTAAAACCAAACTCAGTCAGTCTGACGTTTTGGGGGAGGTTAGCCCAGTGGTAAAACGTTCGCCCGTCCAGCTGGATCCCGGAGGTTCGGGTCGATTTGAATGTGGAGTGTTTGTCCCAGTTTGATTTCTATCGCCGATACATTGCTGAAACATTTGCATTGCTAAAGTTGGCTGAAATGATGTAACAGTTCGTTGTTATCTGGGAGCAATTAGCTAATCCCATCATGCCTGTCTACAGTCCGTTTGGATACCATGTTGCGGATATTGCCTATTTATGATTCAATTTGGAATCTCAATCAGCTTTTTGGCAAGAACATAACGGTTAAGGCTTTTCTGGCCCGTGCCCACTATCCAAATACCTACACCTATGGATTCTCTGACACGGTCTTGATACTATGTACTTTGAGGAATCGTTCCCACTTAAACACACAATGATGAATTTCAGTTCTTGAACCACCTGGTGCACCGGCGTGGGAAGATGGAAGTGGAGGAGGAAATACCTGACACTAAGGATGCGTCCAGGCCCTTCCTCACCAGAAATACAGGTGAGATTTGGCATGGTTTCTCTATTTACAAGGGTTAACGTTATACTCTCTTCCATAAACGTAATTTTGATTTTATCGTCTTCTAAACTTCTCATTGCATGTGATCTATCATCACATGGTACCGAACAGAAATACCAATGGCTATGCTGAACAGCATGTCATCTCAAACATATATTGCCATTTACAGAGACATTGTTTTGTTTTAGTTTTCGTATTTTCCAATTTCATATCATTACTTATCTGTTCTTTTGTTCTGTGACGGTATCAAGAGAATGTTTAATGGTGGTTGACAAACATGCCGTTTATCTAATACTGTGGCATGAGTGAGTGATTTAATATTTAACGTCATGTCGGCAATATCTCAGCCATATCGCGACGAAAACAATTTATACAATAAAAAATGAAAACATTTTGAAGAGTAAAACCTGTCGACGATGGACAGTAAAAATACTCGAGCATCACAGATATGAATATAAAACTAGCGAGCAAAGCTAAAACATTCCAATTAAAGAAGACAATACGATATAAAAACACGGACTATAGATCGGCAACAACTGAAGGTAGATCACCATACTAGGAACCATGGGGACTTTCAGTACTTTTGCTACCTGCATGGACCCTAGTTGGATTTACACCTGTGGCATCAGGGATATCTGGTAAAATAAAATATGTCAAGCAGTTATAAGGTTCAAATGTCTTTTGGGAAACTTAAATGTTTCCTCCATATTATGTGTAGGTAACACATCGGCGACAATAACATTAGGGTCCAAAAACTTTGATCATTGGTGATGTATGACATCACTACGTACTCTCGACTGTGATACATTAGTCACCAAGGCATGGCATTTTGCTCGATGATATCTAAGAATAATGCAATAACATCCAGCATACAATATAAGTTGTATGCTTCACTCGAGGGTAATACGATCTGATGTATACCTCTTTGCAGCAGTATCACCCAAGCCGGTAGGCGTACATCAGACCGTAGTACCCGAGGAGAAGCATACAACGTATTTATCTTACCGCCATGTTAAATGTACAAAATATCATTGTATTATATTTTGAGGATCGATAAGCTCGCTACCGACTACATGACATGTAAATAAAATGGCGTCTGCCTCTCGACTGGATTTTTTTAAATCAGTGAAACATATTCTGACAAGCTAAAAACTGCTATAAAAACGGTTAATTATGATTAAGTTGAGTGTGCAAACGATTCAATGTATACAATAGTTTAAATAAAGCAGTGGAAGTCGGTAAAATAAATGTGTACATAGTGAACTCAAAAAACAGCTAATCGAACGGTTTTCGAACTCAGTGCACTGCATGCGTCATATTATGACGTCATACGATTGTTACCGATCCAGCTTCTCGAGTTTGGCGGTTACCGTTACAGAGGGTAAAATTGTTTCCAGTTGTCACCCTTCTGGGAGAGGTGACACGGGAACTTGTTAAAACGTCATTGACCAATGAATTTAAAGTACTTTACATGAAGGTAAAATAAGAATCTATATTTCTACGAACACTGTTATAACAAACTGTCTTGGGGTCCGGACCATTTGCTGTATATTGCAGTCGAAATGCATATAACTAAATGCGAACTAAAACTGGAAGTATCTTAGAGATGGTTAAAACCGTATCTTTCTGTACGTTCCTGATGTTACTTAACTGATGTTTTAGGTGAGGTTGGGATCTACATTGACCCAATCGATGCTAAGGCAGTTAACCCAAAAGAGTTTGGCCTGGAGCACTGCTTCATGATGGCAGTTAGGGACAGCCTGCTGGAGTACCTGTACGAGGTGGACCTGGTGAAGGTGAAGGGTGCCCTTGAACGTAGAGGATTGTTCAAGGGGTCATCTTGGAGGAAATACGGAAAGGTAGGGCAACATAGAAGATGTGACAGTTACATGGCCAGTACTTTAAAATCACGGAAATCACTTACAGATTCATGTTCAACCCTTTGATTGTTGAAAAAGAATGAGTCAGAGAGCATGGTTTTGCGCCGCTTTTAACAATATTCCAGCAATATCAAGGCGGGGGACTCCAGTAAAGGGCTTCTCACATTTTATACATTTTTGCTATCTAACCCGGGTCGTTGGCGTGACGAGCGAACTCCATTAGGCTACCAAACTCAGGCTCTCGTTTGTGTGTTGCCCGGAATTCATGACATGTAGTCATGACTTATATGAACAGGCAGTGTCTCATGTGTTTGCATCCATGTTTCTGTACACAAGTCAAGTATCTAATGCCAATATATACGTACCTTCATATATACGCACCAACAAATAGCATTACCATTTACCATTGTCCTTTTCCCTATCAGTATATACAGCATACCAGTCTATATAGTACCTTCCGCCTCCGATCAATCCCCATGTCAAGCGCCTCTCTTAGTGCCAGAATACATGTGGGGTCGAATCCCGGGCTCGCCTTGATTATGTTAATTTATTGGCACCATATCCATAGTCGGCGGTTTCCCTTAGGTGGTAAACGTAAAAACGACCTGCATCGATTTAGGCTTTCATCAAGTCATGTTGACACCCTGTGGGATTTATGAAGTACATGTATATCTAATGGTGTGTGATACCAACTGGCCCACACACGTTTTAATTCCACTTGAATTGTATTTTCCACACCAGATTTGCATGCATTAGAGGCCACTCCTAACCATAGTTCCGAGTGAATCATCCGGTTGGCACTACACAATTGACCACTACTCCCTTTACCAATGTGAAAAGTCCGACGGCATCCTATGCGTATCTTAACTTTAAACAAATAATTTGTTTTGTTTGTTACTTAAAGTCACACTCAACAATAGTTATACTGTATAACGAAACCTGTACATAATGAAACCAGTGATTGATATCATGAGTCACGGTCAACGCCGTCGGGGTACAGTCATATGACCGGCCAAGTTGCCGAGCCTGATGTCCCGATCCAAATAGGTAGTTTTTTGTTTTGTTTTGTTTTTTGCTCCAGATTTAAATCTTCATATTACTTTCTCTTAAACGTAATTCATTTCGGTTTCCTTAAAGGTATGATCTTGATAGTTACCTTCGATCACCTTGAGGGTCTGGAGAGTCTTTGGAGGCTTTGGGAGAAGGACAAATTGTCGGCATTGTTCCAGGAACTGTTCGTCACCAACGACACACTGAAGCAATGCTGTGTGACTCGACTGACTATTCGCGCCAAAATGTGGGAGGATGAGTATGTGGATTGCAAAGAAGAGATGCTCAACAGGTCCAGTGAGCGAGTCAGCATTGCCAAGTTCCGTGAGTAACACCACATATCCCTTGTGTATTGGTATATCGTTCTTGTTTGATTCAAATGTCGCAAAGAAAAATTCCCTTGTTTGTGTAGAGATTCGTCGGTTACATCGTCATGGTCAAAATGTGTATGAACAGCAGCGTGCCATACGGTTACGAACAAACATGGCTGACATTATACGAACAGCCTCATTAGCGGATACTGTTATTTTTATACTATTTGATTATTTACTGTCTCCTTTCCATTCTTCTCATTCTCAATTCTTCGTCTTCGTTTACCCCTGGACCTTGCAAAACGCTTCCTAATGTTCACATCTCGAACGCTTAACTTACTCGTAAACTTATGGCACATCTCTGTAGATTGTCTTTTGCAAACGGACCGCCTACGTGGTGTAGATTTGCGTCAGACCATAGTGTGTTCTTATGCAAATAAGAATGGTCAATGCAGATATTTATGGGGTTTAAACATCATTGTCTCGTGTCTGTCTGACCGACATGTTGTTGAGTCAGTCACTGAACCTCCAAGTTGCTCCAATGGATATGATAATCACGTCTGGATGCACAGTGCAAAATATTTACAGGAATTCTTTCAGATCTTGTGTCATCCTACGGCACCTCGAATAATATTATTTACAAGGAGCACAATTGGGTTAGAAAGGAATGTTGGGGTTGCAAGGATAAATCCTTGGTTAAGAAAATGTTCCTTGAAGAAGTACATACTGACCATCGCAACCTCTCATGTGCTGGATTGAATACAGAAAAGCTTACGGTTATCTACCTCACGAATGGATTTTGAGGTCACTTGAGATGCAATCGCAAGGGCTGTCCTCAAAACCCACTTCCATTAGAAGAAGAAGAGTTCAGAGTGATTCGTTAGACCTGGGTTTTTTCTGTCTGTCCCTAAATAAGTGTCAATAGGTGTCAACCAAGCGAACTGATGGCTCATGATCTAATCGACACATTTTCAGTGTGTTGAGGGATGGCATCTCATAACCGACCGGCTCAGATTCCATTGTTTTCGTGTCCTTGGTGTGGTACCTCCTGATCTCTTGGCTGGGTTCTCCACCGGAAGCACAACCCTTCTAATCGTAAGAATGTAATGTTAGTGGAATACATATTCTCTGGAACTTTATGTTGGGCAACTGTGTGCATTTTTTAAGTCCGATTATCTTGTTCTTCTCTATTGCTTCTCTTTTTTCTAATCTAGGGGTAATGATAGTGGAATAATGCTAGCATTATATCGTGAAGTCCGTTCTTCTTAGTCGAATCACAGTCTTGGGGTTAACTGCAGAAAATGCTATGTCTCCCAGATCGGACTTGTAACTATTATCTAGTCAATATATATTTGCCCAAAGTACCATTACAACGTCTACCAATGCCAGCCAAACCAATATATTATTTAAACCGGTGTTGGGGTATGAATGGCATCTGTTACATCAAGGTAACTGTATTATGATGGCATTTCGTTCCAGCTAATGACATACGAATCCTGAAAGAGATCCGGGATTGCCAGAAACAGCTTGGCGAGGACACCACGAGGATGAGGGACATGGAGAACGATTTCGAGCTGAATCTGGACGACTTCATGATCTGCGTGAAACGCATCCTGCCAGATGATGTTGCTGTAATCCACTCACTGGGTGACTTCCGCAACTCTGTCACAGTAGCTAAGGGCATCCGGAAAACAGGATTTGAATCCATCGACATATATCTTGATACTCTTGATGTCATTGAAGAGATCTTTGATAACTTGGAGAGGGTTTTCTGCTACCGGCTTTCCCAAATTCACGGAGTGTGCCAGACGGAGGAACAGAAAGACAAAGTGGAGATGATCAAGGCAAGCAGGAAGGATATGGAAGAACTCCTTAAACCAGACCACAGTCTTCTCAAAGTTCGGTTCAAAGACTGGGAAGTTAAGATTAATCAGCGTGAAAAGAAATTATTTGTAGGGCTAATTAGTTTGATACCAATAGCACTGGAGAAGGTCATTGATATAGATCATTATATAGATGAGTTCATTACCGCTTTCCCGGAACAGATCGCATAGTGGATTGAAACAAACATTGTCGTATCTGTCCGAAGGTGTCAGAAGAAGACATATCGGTTTGCCGACATAATGGCATCCACTCTCCCCATTATGTAAATTGATCACAGATTTTAATATCCCCAGTTGCAACTTTAAGTCACTCCTTCCAAATACATGTAATGCAATTGAGTACATGTCCATTTATATGTTAATGCGAGATTAGATAGGCGTTTTAAATCTTGGTGTATGTATTTACTTTTGAGAACATGTGTACATGTGTATGTAAACAAATTTATCTTACCTCGCATATAAAAGACATAAATTTCTGATTGGATGAGCGCTCTATTATTTTCAATGTACCCCGCTTACAAGCGAGTAACATTTTCCATGTTACACGCTGGGAATGCCGAACTGTGGAAATTCATTTGTTACTTCGTGTTAGTAATTCTTTATCTCAAATAACTGAGTCACGTATGATGTACGGAAATTACCGATGTTTTGCAAATTCAAATCGCTGGAAGGGAGATAACTCTAAATTTGGTTTTCTTGTTATTTGCTAGATTCGATGTCATCTCAAAACCTAGTATTAGCTTATTGCCTAACTCTGGTACACGTTCTTATGATCCGATACTCGTGCTTTAAACAGTTCAAAATTAACATTGAGGTGTTCGATAAGATAAATACGTTGTTCACTGGTCCCTCGGGGCCCATGGGTTGATGTCCACTCTATGTGTGTTTATGAAAACCTCACCCTTCGGGCTCAAAAAACAAAGACAAACACAGAGGGTACATCGTGGTCCCCATCGTGACCAGTGAACAACGTATACTGTGCACCTCCAGTAACTTTCACGCTATCGAATTGTCTGTGTGTTCCATCAAAACAGGGGGCGGTGGGGTAGCCTAGTGGTTACAGCGTCCGCTCGTCACGCCGAAGACCCGGGTTCGAATCCCCACATGGGCACAATGTGTGAAGCCCATTTCTGGTGTCCCCCGCCGTGATATTGCTGGAATAGTGCTAAAAGCGGCGTAAAATCATACTCACTCACTCACTCCATCAAAACAGTGGAAATTATCATCTCTGAAGGGAAACGCTATATTGGATAGATACGGTTTTTATAGAATTCTTTGGTAGTCATATATGTATTTAGTTACCGTTATTTGCATTATGTGTATTGACTACGTAGCTGTAGCCGTCACACGGGAATGTGCCAACAGTCATGCCCACATCCACACGTTTGTTTTACACATAATGCTATCTCTCATTCTTCAATATCAATTCCATTCCGTCCATCTATATGTTAATGTGCTATACGCTATGATGTCTGTCATTAAATCATGCGCAAAAAACATTGATTTTGGTTTCTTTCAGGCGGGAAATGAACGCCATTGTGCTCACTTCCTTTGCAGGATGATCTGGTGTTTGTTCAATCGATACAGAAACGATGGAGAGAATGTTACCAGTTTCACATACTAAACAGTGTAGAACAAGTAGATGCATGGCTATCTTTATTTACGTAGCTGTATAACACAGTAGACAGCTAATTACAAGCTTTATATATATATATATATACGAAACATGTACAAGATGCAGTCTGCTTATACCAAGCTTCAGCTGCGAACCAACAGTGACTCCAGATATCATCAGATATTCCCACAACGTCATGAAGGACGTGCAAACAGCATTTTACCAACTTCATACAAGGTAGACCTGGGAGAAAGCTTATGACGTGTCATCTACGACACAATGCGGATCATATCTATGTGTATTGAGATGCAAGGTCATGTGATGCATAGGTCATAGTATACATGCGTGATACTAACACATGCCTGAGGTTGACTAGATGTGCATAGCGTCTGCTTGTCAGTTGTGGGTTTGCCAAATACACTGTTTCTAATTTGAACTATATAAAGGACAGATGTTAACAACATGGTGTTCAGATTTTTAGTATCTCACATGTAATACTCCTCATCATAATCTATACATAATCCTCTGCAGACTTTATGAATTCCTAAAAGATTATATCCACTTCGAAATATCAAGCGAGCTTTTCTGCGCGACAAGTTATAAATATTTAACAAAAAGTTCTCAATTTCGACGTACATGCAGAATAAGATACATGAGTGCGATTGCAAACCACAAAAAATTACACTCGTTGTGTAAAAAGTTCTAAAATAAATAACAATCAAAAACCTTTTTGTAAGATTCAGGTTGAAACCAAACCTAAAACACTGAATTACGATCATCCTTTAATCATATAAGACGAGTAATTATATAGTTACAATACATAATTGCAACTATTGTATCATACCACAGCAAGGCTCATATGAGACAGACAGCCCTACGAACGAGGAGGAACTATATTGTGGCATGGATGTACTGTAATAACAAGATTTGTTCCAAAACGTTTTGGTAACCTGACTTTATGTAACATAATGTAAAGTGTTGCTTCATGCTCAGATTACATGCCTGCGTACAAAGATTTCGCCGCTGCCTACTTTGGTGGCGTCAGTCAAGGAGCGCTGTACGTAAAGCAGCTGTCTGTGTTCGGTTCAACGTATCTGATGAGGTAAACCGGTCTGTAGAGTCTATTCATGGAACGTATGTGTAATTGTTTACATTGGCAGAAACGGCACTTTCGTGACTTTCTCTTGTTCCAGAGTGATGCTATAATTAATATTTGTAATTATTTGGTCTTGTTTTAGCGTTTCAATCTGAAAAAGGAACATCTGTGCGATGAAAACAAGTTAGGTGTTCTGTTATTGGATTAGACTCTCAGCTACAGTGTCCTTTACTGTCATTAGAAATCTGTAATCAGTCATTAGAATCAACATGCATCCAGACGGAGTCTACTAATGCCTACAGGGAATAACGCCTACAGTCTTATAGAAACAACTTTACGCACCAATCATGGTTTTCAAATTTAATGCTTTCAACCTTTCATTAAAGTGGTATGTCGAATATCAGGGGCGTCGTCCATGATCTGAATCCATGCGTCTTGGACCATGGCTACTTCCTCTACACTCAGGCTTCAGAACATCGGCTTCAGTGAAGCCTATCAGCAGGATCCAGAGATTCATTGATGGATAAGAAGAGCAGCAGCACTTCCCCTCCTCCCAGTAGCCATGGTCCAAGACGCTTGGATTGAGATCATGGACGATGCCACTGACATTCGACAGAAAGATGAGTTCCATGACTACGTGACCAGCACCTGGCTTGACGATCATGCCAAGTTTCGTGCTGGATTGTGGAATCACCATGAGAAGCAAGGCCCGAGGGATCTCCTCGAGGGATGGCATTCACACCTGGGTTTGATTCCCCACATGGATTCTATTCAATTTGTCCCTTGCCGTGATATTTCTGGAATATTGCTAAAAACGTCCTAAAACCATAGTCACTCACGCTTATGTGAATTTGTTTACGAATACACGAGTTGGTGATCTTTAACTTTAATTCACACACACCACCAGTATACATCCTAAATCCCAAACAGTTTCATGTATGGTATACAAACCACTTAAACACATCGCAAGCTTGCGTCAGATCTTCCAGAATTAGTTTTATAAGAAACACTGACTGAGAAAGAAAGGAAGCTCTTACACATTACAATTCCTTGTTGGCCAATATCTCACTTTCGTTCGAGAGGTATACACGGACGGTATTTACGAAGAGATTGCATAACCCAACAGTAACTGTCAATAACAATATCCTGTGTGCGTGTAGTTTGGTGTACTCCGCTACGTAACCACAGTAAAGGCCCTGGAGAAGGACTCAATGCACATTCCTATTACTTTAAGTGCTGTTTAAAAGCTACCTTGGCTCTCTTAATTCTGACGATATTGTCTTTCCATACACTCATACAGCACTGCAAGTGTTATTACGTTCACGAAACTGCCTTTTCGAAATGTTTCGTGGTGTGTATATACCATATCATGACTCATTCAGAAAAGGTGTGACACATGAATGTCTTTTAGGGTACTGTTTACATGTTATAAACAAGCTCTTATGTCATCGTGGAGGGAACATTAACACGATCACAGGGTCCATTGTTCGCTGAGGTTAAAGGTACCCTTGAGAACTATAGCGAGCAAATGAACAGGACAGATAGACTTTAATAAAAGGACATCCACTTAACGGGTATTTTCAGCTACATTACTTTGATCTTCTTTCCATATGGGCGGTTGGGTAGCCTAGTGGTAAAGGCGTTCGCTCGTCACGCCGAAGACTCGGGTTCGATTCCCCACGTGGGTACAATGTGTGAAGCCCATTCTGGTGTCCCCCGCCGTGATATTGCTGGAATATTGCTAAAAGCGGCGTAAAACCAAACTCACTCACTCACTCACTCACTCTTCTTTCCATATGTTCCACAATATAATGGTGTTGAGAGGAGATAGATTTCACAGATCGTGCATCTGCAACAAGGTGAACTATCATGTGTTGTAAGCATATATATACAGAAAACACCTCTCCTGTGCATGACAAGTGATAATTATATGGTAGGAAAATTACTGCTTCACATAAATAAATATTTCAGCAAGGCTCAAGTTGTGATTAAACATGAATTCATTTTACAAAGATGAAGGAACTTGTGATGTGCATCTGAGTGATGCAAGGATGGAATGGACTTTGGGTCCAGCCATAGATTCGATATGTCGTATACGTACACGTCCTTTGTCGCTCGATACCATCAAGTTCTAATGAAGTTTTTAAATAACAAAAACTAAAAACATTCGCGCTAAAGGCAGCACACTAATAAACAATTTCTTATTAAAACAAGGCACTCTGAAAGGGACATTTAGGCCTCACACAAAAAATAATGTAATGACAGTGTGTTGTGATGTGTTTGATTCAGAGTGAAGGAATTTGAAGTCCGTTGCAGGCGTTCTCTGTCGTGATATGCCAGGAATAACACTAAATTCGGCTTAAGTGAGTGAGTGAGTTAAAAATTATAGTCACATCGGCAATATTTCAGCCATATTGTGACTTAAAAAGTTATAAATTAATAATAAACACAATTACATTATAAAACACCTGTCAACGAAGGACAGTAAAATAACTAGATTATCACAGGAATAAATTTAAGACTAGTAATTAAATCTAAAATATTTTTACCTATAAATGACAATACAATATAAAAACAGGCTATAGATTGCCAACAACTGAAGGTAGATCACCATACTAGGGACAAATATTCGGCTTAAGCGTAGGTTAGTTACATATGAAAGAAGAGTTGATGCAAGGCAGGAACTTGTGAGCGGCAGTAAGCAATACGAGAATGCACAAGTGCACACAGACAAAGTTCGAGAACAGTGGACTATCCTTCTCTGACTGACAAA